ACAAAATGGTGTAGAATGATATATAGGATAAATATATTTAGTTGTTCAATTTTATAGCAGTTTAAAGGAACAAGCTGAACCCAAGTCTTTTTTCCATCTTGTAAGCGTCAGGCATGACATCGAAAGGCACCAAACATTTCACAGTATAAACCAAATGCTCCAGTTTCCAAAACCTTCAACTTGAGCTTCAGTCAAAACTAAATCAATGGAGTTTTCCGGCGAGAATAACGGCGCCGGCGCACACGTTCTCCTCTTCCCATACCCTACTTCCGGTCACATCATCCCCCTCCTTGATCTAGCCAATCACCTCATAAATCACGGCCTAAAACTAACAATTCTAGTCACACCTCTCAATCTACCATTAATCGAACCAATCCAAGCAATTCACCCTTCAAATTCCATTCAAACACTTATCCTTTCAGTTCCCGAAACCCCTCCTGGATCCAATTTTGCTAAAAAAGTTCGTGCGACTTCTAAACTTCACGATCCGATCATCGATTGGTTCCGTACACACCCATCTCCTCCAGTAGCCATCATCTCCGATTTCTTCCTTGGTTGGACCTTTCAGCTGGCACGCCAACTAGGTGTTCGACGTATTGCCTTTTGGCCGTCTGGAGCTTTTACTTGCTTAGTTATGAGCTACACATGGAGTAACGTTGAAGAAATCTTCTCAAAAACCGATGAAAATGCTTTAGTTACGTTCCGTAACATACCGAATACGCCGGAATATCCTCGCCGGCAGGTGTGTACGTTGAGCAGTCAGTATAAAGAAGGAGATTCAGATTGGGAATTTTTCAGGGACGGTTTGTTAGACAATGATAAAAGTTGGGGTGCTTTGTTTAACACTAGTAGAGAAATTGAGGGGCTTTATATTGATCAAGTAAAGAAAGAAATGGGCCATGATAGGGTTTGGGCAGTTGGGCCTTTGTTAAATGTAGTAGGCCCAGGTTATTCTCGACGTGGCGGGTTGAGCGCGATGCCACATGACGAAGTGATGACGTGGTTAGACGACAAGGTTGATGACTCAGTCGTTTACGTGTGCTTTGGGAGTCGGTCCACGTTGACGCGACAACAAACGGATGCCCTCGCGACAGCCCTGGAACGTAGTGGGGTGAATTTCGTATGGTGCTTGAGAGGAGGACACGTAACGGACGGTAATGAGGAGGATGCAATCACGAAAGAATACGAAAATCGAGTATCGAATAGAGGGTTGATAATTAAAGGTTGGGCTCCACAAGTTGCAATACTAAAACATCGAGCAGTGGGCGTTTTCCTGACTCATTGTGGATGGAATTCGGTACTAGAAGGCATATCCTCGAATGTGCTCATGCTAACGTGGCCTATGGATGCAGACCAATTTACAAGTGCGGAATATTTAGTTAACGAACTAAAAGTGGGAATTAAGGCATGTGAAGGCGGTAGTCAAGTAGTTCCAGACTCAATAAAGTTGACTCAAATCTTCTGTGATTCAATTAATGGGGCTCGTCCTCAAAAAGAGCGAATGAGAAAACTTCATGATGGTGTCCTAAAGGCGGTTCAAGACGGAGGGAGTTCAAGTCGAGATTTTCATGCATTTGTTGAGCAACTAAGTCAACTTCAAAGTGGTGTCTTTTAAATAAGAAGCCAAGTATATGTAATAAGGGTGCGCCAAAATAGTGGAGTAAATATCCATGTATTTTGATTATGTATTAAATGATTTTTTCACTTTAATTACTTTTTATTTGAATTGGGCAAGTCATAGGTTTAGCTACTCCCTTTGAAAACCTTAAGAACAAGAATAATTAAAGGACAATTATTAAGAATAAAAATCATTCAATACATAAGCAAAATAAGAGACTTAAATCAAACTTTAATAATTAGTATTCTCATAAAAAAATTCAAGCAAGAAATAAAATTCTACACACTTTGATATTCAATGCAAAACTCAAGGGTTCTGCCAAGTCCAAAGACGACAACTTTCCAAAACTAATAACTTAGTAACTCTTTTGTTAGCTGAATCTTCTATTTTGCTTATTGAGTGGAAGGTTATAAGTTTGTTGCCTTTCCTTTTTTATGTCCTGATTTCCACTATCTATTTTTGCCAGAGGTTAGGTACATGGCCCCCTCTGTTTTTGGGTAACTTATGTTGGAAATTATAGGCATGGTAGGGGTCAAGCCAACCCCCCCACACCTAATATAATAGAATTTTTTTTAAATACTTAGAAATCTAGTAAGGATTATGGTAATTCAATTCGAATATCGAGTCTTGGGACGAGAGTCGGGGTTAGGTCACATGTCGGATGTCAGGATAAGATTCTTGATCGGTCATCGGGCTCGTGTGTAGGTTTGGATGTCGAGGTCAAGGTCGGGGTCAGGTCTTAGGTGGGGTCTCAGGGTCAGATCTTGGATCAATTGTTAGGGTCGTGTTTCGGTTTGGGTCTTGGGGTTGGATCGAGTCCTAGTTCAACTGTCGAATCTCGGGTTGAGAGTTGGGTACTTTCCTCTTACCAACCAAAAATGAGAAAATAAGTTAGAAATCAACTTATTTTCCAATAAATACAAAATATTTTCTTATACGGAAACCAATCCCGATAATCAACTCGAAATCCAATCTCTATACCTGAATCGAAACACAATCCCGACGACCGATACAAAATCTAACCCTGACACTTGAATCAAGACATGACCCCAACACCCAACCTGAAACCTAACATTCGAACTGGGACTTGACCCTACCTTGACACCCAAATCGGGATATGACCCCGACTTCAAATCCAAAATTTTACCCCGAAACTCGATTCGGGACCCAACATTCAAGTTATGGGACCCGATCTCGACATCCGAACCTATACACGACCCCGACACCCGAATCTGAACAAGACTTGGATGACTGATTTGACATTTGACCCAACACCTGATCTGAAACATGACACACGATCCATGACCTAACACCCGAATTGGGACCCAACTTCCGAATTGAGGCTAGACCTTGGACCTGACTTTCAAATCGACATCTAACCCCAAAGGTCGATACGTGACCAAAACCCGACACCTGATCTGGGACTCAACCTCGACTCTCGACATGAAACCTAACTCCTACATCTGACTCAAAACCGCATCCCAATACCTAAGTGGGGACTCGATCCCAACACTCAATTAGTATTGGGAATTGGTATTTGAGACTTGAGTTAGTGTTAAAAGTTGAGGTGTGAAGTTGAAAAAGACTTTTGGAACATGTTTTCATTATTTTTTGGAGGTAACTCTTTTTTCTTAAATTTGAGGAAAATAAATTGATTTAGAAAATATTTATATCAACCAAACGTGAAAGAAATTAGAAAACATACCAAACACACTCAATTAAAATGAACCTACTCTCATAAATTAGCCTAGCGTTTTTGTGCAATTTTCAAAATTTGAATGAAAAGGCGCGTAAGCAAGAAATTAAGGGCCATTTTAACATGTCATATCATATGTCCCAGGTAGAGCTTCTTTGTTTGACTTGAAACATCCATTGTTATAGTAAAGAGGCCCAGTAGTAGACTGGTAGTTATCATTATTATTATACTATAATCAACATATCTTCGAAAGTGACAAAAACACATGACAATCACTATAATTCTGCTTTCTATTTTATATCTGTAATTCTGGGCTTTGTTGATATTTTTGAGAGCTCCAATCCACTCTTTTCCTGGTAAACTTTTGAATTTCAAATTAGTTTCTTATTTAGTTGAGATTTACCTTAACCACATTTTCATCATTTAGTTTAGATCTATGATTCATTTGTTTTTTGAAATTTTATACTTTCTCTACTCCAATTTTAGGTTTTTTACTATTTGGGATTTGTGATGCTTTGAGCAATACTTTTGATGATTTTGTTAACTGCTTTGCCATTTTCTGTTGATTTGGTTGTATCTAGGTGTAGTATGTAATAAAGGTAGTTAAGAAAGTTTGAATCTTTTTCAATGATTGTAGTGTTCAAATAGCTTTCACGCACCTCGATTAATTCCATCGAATACTAGGTAACTTTGTCCACCAGGTTAGGACAGATGGGAGGAAATCACCTAATTTTTTGTTTGTTTGTGTTGGGATTTGAACCTGAGACGTCATGGTTCTCAACCACTTCATTGACTAGTAGGCCGCGTCCTGGGTGCAAGAAAGCTTGAATCTTGTTTTCCTTTTAGCTTGATTGTATCCACTTGTAATGTTTCTGTTCTTCAAATGGGCTTTAAGGTAACTCTTATCTGTTTTGAGGAATGTAGATGCAAAATGTGATTCTTTTTTCCTCTTCTAGGGGGCTTTTCGTTTCAATGTTTCTTTTATTTGTATAAAAAGTTTGTGGCTGGGAGGTGGTGCATCGATGAGGATTCATATACTGACCTCAACTTGTTTGGACTTAGGCGTAGTTGTTGTTGTGGTAGAGTGAGGATTGGGTTAGGCCAAGGGCCGTACTTATACTTCTCAACCTTCCTTTTGTAATGATGGATGTAAATCGGTGCTTGTCTTCCATTTTCTACGCGCACACCCGTATGTGGGCTATAGGTATTAGTAATGACAATGCCACATGTGGTTTTGGAGATCACCAGGGTGTGGATAATGAAATACTAGTTTTTTCCACCTGTGTACTACCCTCGCTAAGAATCTATTTCGGCTATCTATGAGCTCTGATCTTTGAGTTTCAAGAAGCTTGAGGGACATTTTAGTGCAACTTGTAGGCAAATGAGTAGTGTGTTCTATCTATCTGCCAATGACTATATGTTCTATATAATAGATACTTCTCTGCATTCGTGTTTGATCTAATGAATTTAAGTTATTATCATTTGTTTGGAGAAAATACACGCTACATTCTCCTTAGCTCTTTGAACTGTTGTTTGTGATGACAGTGTATGGTAATTCAGGTTCTATATAAGCCCATCTCAATGCACTCAAACTTTTGCGTTTTTTTGCTCATGTAATAGTTGCTTCTGCTTCACAAGATTGAACGTGATATCTGCTAAGACGATCCTAGAAAATCAGTTAAAAAAATGGTTCAGACGTTGGAAGCGATCAAGGGTGGTGGAGGCTCTATTAAAGTTGGAACGACTGGTACAATCGGTGCTTTGATGTCAAGAGAATTAGATTCTAAGAAAGTTTCTTCTCATGCACCGGCTTCATGTAGAAGTAAGTCTACAACAGTTTGTTCATTCATTGCTGGCAGTGCTTCCAGTCCCAAAAGAACAAATCCGAAAACATCAGGTGACGAAGCAAGTAGCAGTGGGATGTCTGAGAGCAATAAGAAAATCAGTGAAATTGTGAGAAAAACAAAACAGTACAGTCGAAAAACTCAACATATTCCAATACTAGAATCAGAAAACATTTCCGCAGATGGAACGCCTGTTAGGCAAAAACCTGATCGAAAGGGACATCACATTGTGGAAATTGTGGACATAAATTGCAGAAATGTTGACAGAACTTGGGCTGGCCCTATAAAGAATCGCCTGAAGAAGCTTGGTTTCTCAAAGTTATCCGAAAGCCCTGTCTAAGGAGCATTATAATCCTTGAATATCAATATTTAGATTCCTACAACTGAACCTGTAAATTGATTCATTACATACTGGTAAATCAGCTTATTGCTCTCTCTTCTCTTTTTCGGGTTGTGGTTGATGATCCATGGTCTGGTTACGCTAATAGAAGTCATATTCGCAAGTTCGTGAAACTTGTTAGACTTGTTAGGACAGATTCATGCTATGTTCGCGCAAGAAGAGGGCGTCTATCTCAACAAAAGAGTTTTTTGATTTCACCTTCTTAAAAACTGTGAAGTCTAAAGCTATAAGCTTTGTACTTGGATCATTGTGTCGTACGAGCCAGGGTGGTTCAATAGTAAAGCCACTGAAGCAATGACTTTGGGGCAGCAAAAAAATTACACAACAAAATTATTCAGGGGTCGTTTGGTTGGGAACTAGTTATCCCAGGATTAAGTATCCCGAGGTTAGTTATATGGGATAACTTATCCCATCACTATGCTATAAATGGTGGGATAAGTTATCCCAAACATGTCAACCAAACAAGACATCTAAATTTTATCACAGGACTATTTTTTTTATCTCAGGGCTATTTATGCTTATCCCTCACACCAAACGAGCCCTCAATGTTTTATATATACAAGTATTAATGATTATGTACTCTCTCTGTTTCAATTTATGTGACACATTTTGTTTTTCGAGAGTTAAACAGTTTAAGTTTAACTGAGAATTTGCTCATGGAATTTCAAAAATTTTAAAATGAATTTATATATTTGTGAACTACGAAAAAAGTACTATAAGTCATAATAATTGACAGTTCAAAATATTTAAAAGATATATGAAAAATTTCTAGTCAAAGATAAACTTGTTTGAATCTCAAAATTCGAAATGTGTCACATAAATTGGAACGGAGAGAATATTTATGAATAGTATTAATTGAAAATCTTTTACCTATTGTTATGCACATATTTTCAAAATTTTATTATTTTCTCAAAATACAATTGATGTAATTATAACTAAAAGTCCTAGGCAATTAAATTTGCAATTATTTTGCACTTCTTTATTTATCTAATTCACGTCAATTTGAATCAATCATGTTTTAATATTGACTTTGTAAGATTGTCTTTAATTCTTTGAAGTGCGTTCTTAAACATTTCAAGCTTAAACTAATTAGATTATCCCATAATTAAATTTAATAAGACAGTATTTTAACTTTGAATGTCTTAATGAAGAATAACAATCATTACAATATTGATGATTAATTTAGACCTATTTTTGTAATTAAAAGTAATACGAAATATTATAAAAATAAAAATGATAGCATAGTGCATACTCAATTAGGTGAAGTCTTAATACTATTTCTAAATACTTCTAGTGTTTCTAGAAAAAAATTGATAATTTGGGTAACAATTAACTCAATTGAAAAAGTTTTTAAAACTATAATCAATAAGAACTTACAAACGTAGACGTTTGTGGTGTTATCTAACGTATAATAATTTATATATGTCTCTTCTTGTCTTATGAAATATTATAAGAAATATTATACTATCAATTGAAAAAAAAAACAACTTAACTATAAAATTATAATTGATTATTATATTTTAAGAATTTATAAGAATAAATAAAAATAAAAAAATAAAAAAATAAAAAATATATATAAATTTATTAAATAAACATAAAATTTCTTTTTTTAAAATTTGACTTTAAACCATCCATTTTATTATGCTCTTACATAAAATGGGAAGTGATGCAACAAATCCGATAGTGTATATGTTGCTTATCTCAACTAAAGAGTATTTTGATGGCACCTTCTCATAGACTGTAATACTTTGTATGTAGCTAGATATGAGGAAGTCATGCATTAAGGTTGAAGAGAGGTTGTCTCCGGCCGTGATCCTTGTTTTGAATTTGAATTCATAATTTCTTTGCTATCATATGTTACATTCATCCATATGTTTCGTTCATAGAACCCGTGGATTATTGCCTCACCACGCTTTCACTGCACTTAAGTTCTCTACACACTAATTATAAGAATGATGTTGATATTTTGTGTCCCGTAAAAAATGTTTTATAAAAATAATCTTCCCTCCTTTTGTGAAAATTCTTTAGACAAAGTTATTATTCAAACCTAATAAATTAAAGATAACACTAATAAATTAAAGATATATATATATATATATATATATATATATATATATATATATATAAATATATATATGTCATGTTTGCAGAGGTGGATCTAGGATTTGGAGGTCATGGGTGCCACATTGTTCAAGATAAAAGAATCGGCAGCTTTATCTTTGGATTACCATTCGGGTTATTAATATTTTTCGATTTTTATAAACAAATCAATCAAGCATGCATGTTAGTAATATTTTCTTTTAGATATTTTGAGATAAGAGATAACTAAACAATTTAATTTTATTTCCTTTTTGGAATTAGATGCTTATTCGCCGAAACTTCGAGGAAAAAAATTTCACATTAAAATTCGAGTTTGTATAAACCATTTAATAGTATTAACTTAGTATATTCATACTCCATTGATTTTATGTGTTGTTGGAGATACATAGTAGGGAAAGAATAAAAATTATTGTTTCAGCCTAGTCATATTACTTAGCAAGAACGTTGGTGAAGATCGAAGAACTTTTAAATTAAAAAAAAAAAACTCTAGTAATAATATTCCTCATTTTTAAAACTTATATTTTAAAAAAACTACCATTTAAATATATTCTTAATAATATGTATTTGACGTTCATAATTTAGTACTCATTAATTGATAAAGAATAAACAAGTAACACTCATATTAAGAGATTAATAATTAGTGAAAGAGAAAGTAGAAATAAAGTAAAAATTAATTGTGAAAAGGAGTCAAATTGAATTAATAAAGAATAGTAAATAAATAAACATAAATGGAAGAAAAAAAAATTAAAGACCTTCACACAATAATGAAAAAGACAAAAAAGAAAAGAAAAGAAAGCCAAAAAGTAAATGGCGCCAGCGAGGTTCGAACCTGCGTTGAGCTTGTGGCCGACTTTCACCTTTGCCAATTGAGCTGTTCATGATTTCAGTTAGCGGGTGGCAACGTTAATATATATATAGAATTATTTTACATATATACATATATATACAAAGTTTTTTCCGAGATCACTGGGTGCAGTGGCACCCCCACCCGTCCACATAGATCCGCCCCTGCATGTTTGTGAATCAAAACCCGCGTGGATATAAACCTCAACACTATCTCATAATTTGTATGGACGAAAACAACTGATTACATTTTTCTATTTCTATAAAACTCAAAATATAAATTTATATTCTTGAGTATTATTGCTAGTTTAGCCACCTTTGCGTCTCTTTGATGAATCTCGTGGATGATTGTCTTTATCATCATTTTTTTCTTGTTTTAAAAAATTCTGATATTCCTCTCTTGCCAGCAATATGTTCTCATTCTATAAAGGTTTTGTTGTGACCCCATAAGCTGACTTAGAGGACACATCAGAAGCTACCGTGGACACCCACTCAACAGGCGAGTGGGGTTTTGAAAAGAAGTAAGCGCGTGAGAATGGGCACTAAACGATGAGAACGTGGGCAAAGGACAAGAACGTACCGTTCCCGAAGTACCAGATTTCATAAATAGCAAAACAGGCATCTAAATTAATTAGGCAATTGTAATTTCAGTTTGAATATCTCATCTCTATGTTTCTTTGTCTTCTCATCCCCTTCCTTCTTTCCTTGTTACTGTTTCATTGAAATTTCCTTTTCGATCTTGTATTTTTCTTGTTAGTATAAAGGGTATATACGTTTTAGTTTTTGGACAGTAGAGGCGTCAATGTCTCAAAAGTATATCTGCATACCATTTACGATAGTTTGGGGTTATATTTGTCCTTTTTCCCTATATTAAAAGATAAAAATTATGAAAAAAATATAAGAAATATTAAAGTAAAATTTAATATATATATATAAAGAATTCGAGTAAGTATCTTCGAACTTCTTCAGCGTGTTTGAATTCAAGAAATGAAAAAGAGAAAATTTTACGTATAGCAAATTAAAAATTGCTTATTGTATGCTATAGCAAATTTTATAAAATTGCAGTCCGTAGCAAAATTTTAGTTTGCTACAGATGTGTCTTTCTATATATTCGCTAGTCAGTCTTTTTTTTTTTTTATACATTTTGATTGTTTTAAAAAATAAATAAAAAGGCACGTTAATTTAATTTGTGTATGTAATTGTTTATATATAAATGTATATGCAGAATGTGTATATAAACGTTTATATGAGTATATAATGGGAATATGTATATATGTGAATAACTGAAGTTGCTAGAATTTGTATAAATATATGTTCTGTTTGTTGTTGAAATTCTTAATCGTATAAATGTATATGTATATATAACTTATTTTTTATACAGAAATTTTGAAAATGACTTCATTAGCTATTTTGGTTATGCATTCCGATAGACGGGACAATGACAATTGTTACGTTATTCAATTGAGGGGGTGATTTTTAAAGAAAGTTCATCGTATACGGAGTTGTATAATGTTATTGCAATGCAACTCGGTGTTGATACAAATGTGATTAAGCTGAAAATTGAGTATAAGGTTAAAGAAAGCAAAACGCCAATGCTGATTCACATATTAAAAATATATTAAAATAGACAAAGTGTATAAGTGTGAGCAAATATGTATGTTTAAAGGAACATTATACAATAATTACTAATATTATATATTTATACAACCACAATTGTATAAGCAAACAGTAGAAGACATGAATCAACATAAAAAATATAAAAATAATGATTATATAGTCCAATGACCCACATGATTATAAGGTCCAATGACCCGCATAATTATACAGTCCAATGACCCACAAACAACAACTTTAGTTTTATCATTGTGATCAGTATAAACGTCAGTTTTATCTTCTTTTTTTTTTTACTTGACCCAGAAATAAGTGTATAAGTGTGAGCAAATGTATATGTTTAAAGGAACATTATACAATAACTACTAATATTATACATTTATACA